GCATTAGGCCTTCAGCGGGACCAGAAGGTAAAAAAAATCTCAAGAGCTGGTCAAGGAAGGAGTTAGAGCAAAGTCCCAGCCAGCCCAGCCAGACTGAGTCCCTGCTGCAGCTCTTCCCTGGGACAGGCTGGCAGAGAGAGCACACTCGCTGCTGCAGGAGAGCCTTCTCCTCCAGCTCACACACCTTATGCCCAAGGTGTTAGCAGAGCACAAGAGGATCAGCTGTAATCTTGTTTGCCCATAGCCCTCCTCAGCCACGTCTGCATAGTGGCTGGGAATTAGCTCTCAAACCCCGTCTCCCCTCGGGATGGCTCTGCTGCCAGGCTCGCTCGAGCCTTCAGAAAGCGAATGCACTCTACCTGCTGTGAGGGTAGGGTTTATTCCAGCCACCACCTGCTCCAAACAGCAAAGGGCTACAGAAAACAGTACTAGCTCCCCATTTTCACCATGCAATAAGCATTGCTCCTCCATCCCCCAGTAAGGCAGCCATCCCCTGCCACCCACCTTAACCACCCCCTCCCTTATCTCACAGCTAAGCTCCATCCCATTTGCTGCAAAGCCTGAGCACTCACCCACAAAGCTCTTACTCACCTTTGAGAGCCCTCCCACCTCTAAGTAAAAGCAGATGATGAAGATGTTCCAGGTGACCCACACTGCAGTCCAGATGGCATACTAGAAGGGAATAGGGAGCAGGGAGGGGGAGAGAAAGAAGCAATAAACATTAGGAAGTCACTAGAATTAGTTTATATGTGTGATATGCAGCTGGGGGCAGTTAAATGCCCTGAGTCAGCACTGCAATTGTTTTCTCCTCCTCTGTTGCCCACCTGCAGATGGTCCTTTGCCTGACTAGAGACGCAGGGGCAGAAGTTTGGAGAGAGTGGAAGAGCTTCTGCCATGCCTTTCTCCAGCATCTAGTTCTTCCTCTCTGCTGTGCAGTGTCTCGGTGTTACTTTGCTCCCAGTAATAATTATCTGATATTTTCTAAGTTTGGCATAAGTACACGAAAAGGCAGCACACTGAACAATGTGTTCCTGAGCACAGCACCTCCCGCTCAAACTGTTTGCAGTTCTCATGCCCGATTTCCCAAGGGCTTTACTCAGTTCCTCATCACTTGCCATACCCCACCAGAGCAAAGGCTGCGAACGGCTCTGAACAAAACGGACATTACTTACCACCACTATGTAGCGAGGTCTATATTGAATAGTGCCAAACAGGCCAAGGATAACGATGATGATGTGGAGGAAGTTGGCTAGGATAGGGGCCCACTGGTATCCCAGGAAATCGAACACTTGTCTCTCTAATGCAGCAAGCTGGAAGGGAGAAGGAAAAGGAGAGTTACGGCTTCTGGACTCCTGTTTATTCTCTAGGTCTCGACATGCTCCCTGAGCAAATCTCTGCAGCAGCTGAAGATCTTACTCCCTGCCCAAAGCCATTTACTGCCTGGGAACCAGGTCAGCGGGACAGAACATGTGTCTGCGTGCCCCTCCTTCCACTTTGTACTCATCCCATCTCCTCTGATGGCGAAGCTAACGCAGACCAGTGATCTCCAGTACCTGCGTGGGGACACGTCCTCTGTTCTGTACACTTTGCAATGGGGAGGTGGCCCTGGCAGAGGGCAGAGGTGAGCAGCGGGACAGTAACATCCGAAATAGCTGCAGCAGGACTTTCAAGAGCTAATTTGTCAGAGCCTTCAGCATCACTCCATCATTCCTGACATCTCTCATGTTTCTGCTCTCCAGCACACATCCATCAAAGCAAGAGAGAGGACGAAACTCTCTCCTCTACCTTCGTCCCACAGAAAATGTTGCCACCCAGCAAAGAAATTCTGCAAACACATCGGTTTTCCAGGAGGACAGGCTGTGTTCCTCTCCCGCACCAATAACATGGTTCAAGGCTAGTACTATGTTCCAGAAATAAAACTCCGTTACTGTTGATGTGCTGGGCTTGATTTTCAGACCACATCTGCATAAAGATGTGCATTTCATCTGCAGCCATCATCTGTGTATCAGCAACAACGGGTCACCTGGATCTGAACTGCTGTGTTATGCATGCAGCTGAAAGAGCACCAGAAACATGCAATTTACATCCCCACAGCCTTCACATATTACGTCTATAGGTGAAACAGCGAGTGGAGGGGGGAAAACTGTTCCTGCAGGCTTTTCCCCAGTGCCCAGCCTCACGCAGAGAGATCTTCTCTTCGCCTCTCTTTGCTAACGCAGTGCAACCCCCCCCACCACCCCCAACCTAAGGCACAGCAGGAGATTTCCCTGTCAGGGTAAGATTTCAAAGCCTGTTTAATTATCATAGCGGTACGCTGGGATTGCATTATGACATTTTATATTTATTTTCACCTAAATAAATCATTACAATTTACCATCGATAGTCAATATTAATTTAACTACTAATTAGACATTAACCATGGGTGATCCTAGTCCACCACGTGTGATCAGCTATGTGACATCTTTTCCTGGCTTGGCTTTTAAATGGAAGCTGGGGACCAAGCACTGGAGCTTCTGTAATGGCTTAAAGCATTGAAGGATGTGAGTGGTTGTGGGTCCCAGTCAAGCCGCGCGATGAGGGAAGCCACATCTGTCAAATGCCCATTTCTCCTCCTTCTTCCTGCATTAGTGGGGACATCACCTTCACCCCTCTCTTGGGCTAGGAAGCTATTGCAATTCCCACCACCACCTTGGAAGTTCAACAAAAATCTGTATTTCAAAGAAATCTATAGCAGCCCTGGCTAAGGGAGATCAATCAGCGTGGTGGTAAGCAGGCTTCCCTCTCTGACATCTCTCTCCTCTGGCAAAGGGGTGCAGAGAGGGTGGGGAGGGAATGGAGGCAGCCTCCAAAACTGTCTCTTCTGCAAAATAATTAGTCTTCCCTTTGAAGCAAGGCACACTGCCCCGTTCCACTCAATGTGAACCGCATGTGAACCGCCTGCAAGGTGCTGCGAGATGCGGTGCACGGCCACACGCGGGGCTCCGGGGCCGGAACGGGGCAAGCGCTGCTCATTTCACCGTTCAGCCCGCTCTCCCCCCAGCACAGCAGATTTTCTGTATCTCATCAGAAACAGCAGTAATAAGTTAAATGCTTAATCTTTTAGGAGGGGATTAATGCATTAATGCACGTACCTTAACAATACTTGGAAATTTCGAATCCTGACTGGCTGGCAGTGGGTCACTTGACTGTGACCGCTTCATCCAATCAGGCATTTAATTGGCTTTGTGCGTTCCATTAACGTGGGAGTACGTGCCCCAAGAGCCAGCACCGCGGCACATCCGTTAGCGAGGGGACACAACGGGGGTGTGTTCCGCAGAGATAACGCCCTGCTCAGCTTCGCTGCTTGCCTTCAGGCCCTGAAAAGGGGGGTAAAGACAGATCCTTCCCACCCACACCTCCTGCCATGAGTTATCCCACTCAGGCAATCCACGTCTGGAAACGTGTTTTCTTCTCACAAAGGAAACATTTGCCATTAGGGCTAAATAAAAAGGGGAAAGAATCACTGAATCCCAGCATGGCAGGGGTTGGAAGGGACCTCTGGGGATCACCCAGCCCAACCCCCTGCCCAAGCAGGGTCACCCAGAGCAGGCTGCACAGGACCGCGTCCAGGCAGGTCTGCAATATCTCCAGAGTAGGAGACTCCAAAAGTCTTGTCCTTCCACAGCTTTGTGATGTTTCCTGGCTTGTTTGGACCAGGGAAGACATTGGTCTGTGAAGTGAGAGGTACTCAGCCGCCCTAGAGACGGACCTGACAATCTGGGCTGACTTCAGATGGGGGCACAGCTCCCAGAGAGCTCTCTGGTCCCCGGCCACACTGCATTTTTCTCTATGACCCCAGAAGTTAGCTTCATGTCATACCTCCAGAGAGGTCTCTGGTCCCTGGCCACACTGGATTTTTCTCTGTGACCCCAGAAGTTAGCTTCATGTCATACCTTCCTCTTCCTTACTGCAATTGCGCTTGTCTCCAGGTTGTTTCTGTCCTGATTTACATTCCTTTGCCACTTTCTCTGCATTTTTTACATGTTTTTGTGTCCCGGGGAACTGCAGGTATGACTTGGCCAGTAGAGATGGGCTGTGCCTGCCTGCTGGTCCAGCTAAAGGGAGCGGGAGTTGGGTGGGTACACGTCCATGTGATGTGCGAGCTCAGGCAAGCTGCTTCCTCATTTATAAAAATAAAAGCAATTTTCCATAAGCTGTGTGTTGATGACAAGTGCAAATGCTCCTGACGAAACTCCGTATTACTGACACGCAGGTAGTGAGTCTGTGCTGCAATTCAGCCGTCAGAAACACAGCCTGAAGTTACCCTGGGCTTGTCCCTCTTCCCCCAGGAACCCAGCATAATTAAGGAAATATTTCATTAAAATAAATAAACAACTATTTCACTCATTACCCTACAGGTCTGTGTGCAAAGCTTGCCCATGGAACGCTGCTGAAATCTGCAGGTAAATAGGGCTGATGTTTGTGCCGGGCTGGCCTTGATTTGGGGCTGGGATGTGAAGAACGGCGCGGTGCCCTTCAGGCCTGGTTCCTTCAGCCTGGCTCAGACTGGGCAGGGGCAGGGGGGGCCCCTGCCTGCAGGCACTGAAGTATCTGCCCCCTACTGAACCTCTCTCGGATCCCTCTTGTTGAGCAGGGGAAATGCCATCTTTCTCTGCTGCTGCCAAGTTTCTGCAGAGTAATATCCTCGCCGTGGCGTTCTTTTATGATGATTCACACTATTCTATTGAGAAAGCCTATTATATTCTAGAGATATTGGTTGTAAAGAGAAATTTCACAGATTGTGGTACAGGTTTCAACCCATTCAAAGCTGACAGGACCTTTCCATCAAGGAGGACAAATTTTTCTTCTTTATGACTATTCTTATTAAAAACAGGATTCCTTCTGCTCCTTTTGCTTCTCTAGCCCATAGAACATTTTTACCTTTCATTCTTTAAATTAAATGATTTGTTGCGGTACTAAAATCAGAATAGTTGTGGCAGACTTTTCTCTCCTGAAATAAAGCACATTTCTGCTGATCTGAGTGAAACTGGAATAGCAAATAACCATGTGAAGCAGTTGTTAGCCAGGCAAAGAAAACAAGCCAAAGCTCTCTGTTGGGCCATCGTTCATTTACACAGCCAGGAAAGATAAGAGAGGCAGAGAAGATGTTCGGCAGTTTACAGAGAGTCCTATCACATAGCTCACGCACAGCGAGCAAGAAGGGCTTTGTGAGCCAGCACGATGGGACATGCTCAAGGTCTTTACACCACCAAAGCTTCACCAGAGAGGGAAGCTGCACCTGAGCTGGAGGGGAGCACTGCCTGATGGAGCCCACTGCAGAACAGGAAAACGGTCTTAGAAAACAGAATCACAGAATCACAGAATGGTAGGGGTTGGAAGGGACCTCTGTGGGTCACCCAGCCCAACCCCCTGCCCAAGCAGGGTCACCTACAGCAGGCTGTAGACGACCTTGTCCAGCCGGGTCTTGAATATTTCCAGAAAAGGAGACTCCACAGCCTCCCTGGACAGCCTGGGCCAGGGCTCCGTCACCCTCAGAGGGAAGAAGTTCTTCCTCATGTTCAGCTGGAGCTTCCTCTGCTTCAGTTTGTGCCCATTGCCCCTTGTCCTGTCGCTGGGCACCACCGGAAAGAGTCTGGCCCCGTCCTCCTGACACCCACCCTGAAGATATTTAGAGGCATTTCTAAGGTCCCCTCTCAGCCTTCTCTTCTCCAGGCTAAACAAGCCCAGCTCCCTCAGCCTCTCCTCGTAGGAGAGATGCTCCAGTCCCCTCACCATCCTAAAACACCTCGAAATGTGGAACAGTTTCTTGCTGGAGCATTCAAACCATTCCAGTTGCGTTTCCAATGGCTCCGGCAGGACAGTCACTGGCAGATGTCGATGCCAGCAGGACACGCCGAGCCCATTCAGCATGGGCTGGGGTGTGCTTGTTTAAATTCTGGTCCCTCAGATCTCTTCTATCCCCTCATCTTTGTCTTCTGTTGTTCCTGCCATGCTGATAAGCTGGAGCGTTCAGCCTGCTCCCCTTGTGCCCCCGTACTGCTAGGAAGGAGGGTTGCTGACAAACAAGTCCCAGTAACCTGTAATCCTTTCACTCCCTGTCCTTTATAGCCTACTGTCAAGGCCACGTTATCAGCTAGATTTGCTCTTCTTAGTTTATTAAGCTTTTAAAGCCTTTAATCTTATTTGGTTTGGATCTGTGTCTTTCACTGCATTGCTGAAATCAGTTGGGACACGAAATAACAAATAACACTTTCCAGATGTTGACATGACTTGTACGGACGCAGGGAAGCTGCTCAGAGAGCCCAGTGCCAGGTACAGACACGCAAAGGGGATGCCCTGCCTGCACAGACACACACGTCCAGATGTATCTGTTCCTGCAAGCAAACCTGCTTTTACACTTTCCAAGGTCGGCTTTAAGAAGAGATGTCTTCTTAAAATTAAATGTTAGAAATAAATTCCCAAACATGCAATAAATGGAGCAAATGGGAAAGGCTGATCCTACTGCTATGGGCCAGCCAGGACTTAAGGGAGATACTCCTGCAAAAAAGAAGAAAAAGTGTTTTACCCAGAAACCTGGACAATTTTCCACTTGGCCTATAAAAAAACAACTTGAAAACTCTTTTGCTGCCCCTTGTCTTTCACCACCCTAAGGACACAGAGCCTCACAGACTGCTCCGACCCCTGCACTGCCCTTGTTCGGTGGTGTACACAGCCACCATGGAGCCCTGCGTGTGCATCTACAGCTTCAACGCAGACAACATCTGCCACTTAAACCCCTATATTTGCTTCCTCTCTAGCCTGAACCAAGACCCAGCCTCAGCTGCAGCCCTGGGTCAGCACCGCGCTCCCGTGGTGCTCAGGGCTGCCTGGCTGCCTCCCGAAGCC